ATGAAAAAAACACATTAGGATTGTGTGCTTAGAGTCAAAATACCGGACAAACAGCATGAAAAAACACATTAGGATTGTGTGCTTAGAGTCAAAATACCGGACAAACAGCATGAAAAAAAACATTAGGATTGTGTGCTTAGAGTCAAAATACCGGACAAACAGCATGAAAAAAAAACATTAGGATTGTGTGCTTAGAGTCAAAATACCGGACAAACAGCATGAAAAAAAAACACATTAGGATTGTGTGCTTAGAGTCAAAATACCGGACAAACAGCATGAAAAAAAACATTAGGATTGTGTACCTACATTATAATGGAAACGAATTATTGGTTGTTCATAATGTTAGTTTGATTCCTGTTTTAACCCTTATCTTTGTTATTGGCTGAAAGACAGCATGATATAAAATTATATTCCATTAAGATGCTGCAAATAAAACCAAACTGTACTGTTATTGGATGATACATAGACTATGTAAAAAAGTATAGGGTGCGTTTGTGAAGTGTTATGTTTTGTTTGTGAAGTTACTTTTAAATTAATAAAAATGTTTAGTACACACAAATGTTTTCTTTAAATAAAGGCTTTATACTTTAAAGTAAGTACGTACCTTTCTCGAGCATGGACTTCCAAAATAGCTTTAGCTTCGGGATACTCCACCAGGGCCTATGAAAGAATATAATGTATCGGATATGAATGGCTATTGGAAACAACGAAGATATTTTATTGGATAAACCAATTTTAAAAACTATTGATCATTTGACATTTTATTGGAAATGGGGAAACGCATATCTATACATATACATAAAATATGTATATATATACACATACATAAAATGTGTCTGTATATATATATATACACATACATAAAATGTGTCTGTATATATATATACACATACATAAAATATGTATATATATATACACACACATAAAATATGGTACTACATCTAAGAAAGAATTGTGAGAACGATATTTGTTAACAAAATGCTTTAATTTCGTTATGGCACAAATAACTTTCGTATCTAACGTCGTTTTCTCTCCAGATGTTTACAGTAATAAAGAATTGGATATAACTGTGTAAGAAATGTTTGAAATAGAAGGAACAAGATAATAAACTCTATAATATCCATTTTTCTTTATATTTTATTTTATTGTGGTTTCCTAGTTTATACTAGTCTGTCTTCCATTGTAAGCTCATCTAACTTAGCGTGTTGGTTTAGTCCTCTTTCATGTTAATATCTCTTTCTCTCTCCTTTCTTTTAGAGTTCACACTTTGGATCATATTTTTATATATTCTGAACGTAAAGAAACATGGTAATAATCAACTCACTGTCATTAGATCTTTCCGAGATAAACACAGTAATTCCGAATATCCAACTGAGCGGACATCAGCAGTGCGCCTGCGTACAAATAAAATAAAATATAAACATTAGCATCTACACGTTTTAGATTAACACTGGCGTTAGGAGATGTTTTTAACCATTGCTATATTCCTTAATTAGATTTTTCGTTATGATATTATGCAACTTTTGTTGGTAAAGGTAATTAAATTATATTATAACCATTAGAGAATGTATTTAATGAAAACCTCTAGTCAGACTAGAACCAATCATATTGCAAGATTTAATAAACTCGGTTAAGAGTTTCGTTTCACATTTCCTGATTATTTATTTGGGACAATTAGTTACTATTACTACTGTTATTACAAAAAAACATCACGTGTTCTAAGGATTGAAGAATGGCTGACTAGTACCGGTTTTGAACTCCATCTAATCTCAGTAGACTGATTTCACCAAAATAATTTCCTTCACAAAGCACTGCTACCACGACTTCCTCGTCAGTAACTGGGTTCGTAACAACGACCTGTGAAAAAATAAAACAAACAATTCAATAACATAAAAGTAAAGTTACTAATTATCTAGAAATATTCAACTGAAACTGAAAGAAAAGCTCGACTAAAAGTGATATTACCCTTTATTGTACACTTATTCACTGTTATTTTCAGTATTAAGTGACTCTCATGCTGAATTTTACTCGACAGTGTTAATGATGCATTTAATGCCTTTTCTCATCGCTAGATGCTCTAATAGACTCCCAGTTTTCAGAAGTAATGTTTATAGTAATGCACAAACTATACAATGGGCTATCTGTGCTGTGCCCACCACGGGTATCGAAAGCCAGTCTCTAGCATTACAAGTCCGCAAACTTACCGCTGTACCACTGGGGTATTTTCAGAAGTAAGGAAGTAATGTTTATAATTATGCACAAACTATACAATGGGCTATCTGTGCTGTGCCCACCATGGGTATCGAAAGCCAGTCTCTAGCATTACAAGTCCGCAAACTTACCGCTGTACCACTGGGGGATTTTCAGAAGTAAGGAAGTAATGTTGCTATCAGTATCAAATTATTCCTCAGTATTCTTAACTATACACTACAGACTGTAAGCTTGTTAATATTTTCTTCTTTAAATTATTTTAATATATATATATATAATTAAACATTAAATTATCTAAACAGTTAAGTTGATATTAACATAAAAAACAGCAAGACTAAACCTATGATGAAATAGAACATATGTATAATACAAAAAACCTTAACCACACCACAGCATAATAAAAACACTCACCAGGCAATAGCGTTCTAGTGACTTCGTTTTGGTTATGCAATATTGTATTGTAGTTAAGGCTTGTTTTGTACTACAGATTATATATATATATACTAGTTGAATTACGCGGCGTTGCACTTTGAAAATGTATATTTGAAATGTATAGATCAGCATTTTTTTCAGCAAATTATTCAGTAAGTAGACAAAGCTGTGATGCGAGAAATACAAAAGCCTTTAATCAAACAAAGCTTTATTTGAAATTAGATCGTGTTTGAGCTTGTCTTATTCTTTGACCCTGAAGTTGTACATCATGCTGCTCCTCTGTTTCTTGCTCTCTGTAAGTTGTTTGTCTTAATTTTTGTGCTTGAATTCTGGTTTGAGGTTGTTCAGAAGTTTCTTGTTGTCTATATCCAGCTTGCCTTGATGATTCTGACTGAACTCTGGCTTTGTGCTGTTCAACAGTTTCTTGCTGTCTTTGAGTAGCCTGCCTTTCAGCTTGAGCTCGAAGTCTAACTTTACGTTGTTCCAAAGTCTCTTCCAGTATTTGAGCAGCCTGTCTTGCAGCTTGTGCTTAAAGTTTTTGATTTCGTTATTCTTCTGTTTCAGCTGCTCTTTGTGCTTGCATTCTTTTAGCGGCAGGAGACTTTTCATAGAAATGGCGTTTCTTGGGTGGCATAATCACCTGTATCACTAAACAATAATGTGCAATTCACAAAGTTACTAAATCACTTATGAAACCACTTAGCACTATTTAAAGAAAACTGTTTTTGGAAATACTGTAGTGACAGCAAGGTGATCTGAGTGTCTCCCGCCATAATGCTTTCTATGTGCAAAACGTGCTTAAGTTTGTATGTTTA